TTTTTATCACTCATTGTAATGAAAGCACGCTTGGTAGGCTTCTTTTGAAATAATTTTTTTGTGTTTTTAAAGTGATTATAAATTTTAGGATCAGATGCGACAGACGATTTGAAACGTGGTACTCCGTTGAAGGAGTAAGGCGAATGTGTACAGTTTGGTGGTGACTCTTGAAGAAATGGCTTTATTGCCGTTATTTTAACACTGACTATTCAGATGCTGTTATTGCCATGCAGTTATCTATACAATTAATGAAAAAGGACACTTGTGACCACAATTTTCTAATATAGTTTCATTGTGTGTTACTTCGTCTATGTTTAAGTTTCTTGTTTGTCCTGAAGATGCTTTAATTTTTGGATCTATGGTCTGTTTCTCCAAAGGGTTTTATTTGAGAATCTTTTATATAGTGAAAATTGTATTTATTTGTTTCTTTTTTTTTGCGAAGAATCACGGCTTGTAGGCTGAGGCTTATATTCAAATTATTAAATTGAAATCTGTTTTAATTGAGTTTCTAACTGCCTTACACTTTGAATACGCATCCTGGACGGGTTTTTTTTGGAGCAGTTAAAAATTTCGCCTTTTGATAAAAGTCATTTTGGTTTAAAAGTGCGGAGAAGAAGAAGAAGAACGGTGATAAAAAGAACAAGAAAAAAAATTTTGATGATGAAAACGAGGAAGAAAAAAATTTAAGTTGAAAGATAAAAAAAAATTATTTCTTTTCAGTACTCTGCCAACTATTAATAATTCTTGAAAAAAGAAGTAGGTAATCATTAAAACGGATGACTGAATTGATTATGGAAAACATTGAATAAATCGTTGATCAAAACTGCTTTTGTACATTAGACGCTTCAGCATTCTCACCAATTAGCTGTATTTCGCTATATGGCTGCCACTAACAGTTTGGTTTTCATCGGTTACTGTTGCTTCAGCTTCTGCTGTTTTCGATGTTGCCGCTGCTGCTGTCAATAATGTCCAGTACCGCCGGTTGATACTAACTCGGATGATGCTGTCATTAAGAAGGCAACAAAGATCTGTAACTTTTCATGAAGTCTATATG